CACAAACATTTTTCTAATGATAAAATTATAACTTCTAATTACTCCTCATAATAATTTAATTATGACAGAGCATACTGATTTGTGAGCAATATTGCAATTGAATATTTCCAAGTTAAATCTTTTTCATCGCTTTATTCTTCATATTATACAGTAACCCATATGGTGGTGGTACGGTAATATTTTTTATTTGATTATGCATTAATAAGAATATGGGATAATCATCATCTTTTTTTTACCACTTGCAGTTCAAAATTAATTGAAAAAAGACAGTTTAATTTTTATATAACTTTTAAAATTGAATTTAATTACAGCTGAATTTAATTACAACATATTCTTTCGGAATGAATTATTGTTTAAAATTTAATATTCAATTTTTCGCATTTTCAATTATTATTTAAGTAATGAAATTAACAGTGGAAAATAGTATTTTGTTGCATTTTTTTTTGTCATTTTGATAAATCGAATATAGACATATATATAAAATTGTCCCTTGTTGTCACCATCTTTAACTTCCTGTTTCATTCCTAATCTTAATCATTCATCAATGATAGCAATTAATGGCGAAATTTTTACGATAATAATCTATAAATAAAGATACACACACACACACACACACACACACACACATACGGACACAAACACACACACATACCTATATATGCCATTAAACAGTACAAATAAGTTGACAGACATCATTTATTGTCACCTAGCATATATTATTGCTATCAATCATTAATATAAAATTTGTTGAAATACTGTGCTTGCTAAAATTATCTGAAAAAATAAAATCGACAATTGAAAATGAATTTGTTAATAAATTGAAATTGAATTAATTGAAAAGAATAAAAATGATTATTTGATATTAATCATTCAAATTAACAAAATTGATATGATAGTATTTGCAATGAAAATTTTATAACTAAAAATATGATAATATCGTAAGTGCATGATTAGATAGGAAATTTCAAAAATAAATTTGTTAATGAATTAAAATTGAATTAATTGAAAAGAATGGAAATGATTATTTTAAGCAAAGAAAGGACCGTTTTTTTTTTTTATTTGATTATTTTTTGATTAAATACAATTGATTTTTTTTTGTGCAAAGTTTATAAGAGAAAAAGAGTAAAATTTGATAAATTTAGTTTGAAAATAATAAAAAAGACAAGACAGATTTGAAATTATAATTTTTAAAAGAATGCTTCTTTCGAGGCAATTATTTAATTAATTACCAAAAATTTTGAAATTTTTTTTAATTTATTCAAAAAATTTAATAAAATCATACAGTTGATATTAATTATAGACGTATGTTCCCAACGATGAAATTAAGTATCAGTGGTTGTGAACCGGATGTTTTTTATTATGTATTTCTGGATGTAGTTCCTGTAGACAATCGACGTTACCGGTATATTTATAATAAATCATCCTGGTTAACAGCCGGTAAAGCTGAACCAACACCCCGTAATCGATTATATATGCATCCTGATTCGCCATTCACCGGTGAACAGGTTTCTAAAATCTTATTTTTGATTCCCTTAACAAATATTACAATTTAAAATAGGACACCATTAAATTTAATTGCTAAAATTAAAATTAATTAAAATGTGAATTTAAACGATTTATTAAAAAAAAAAAAGACAACTGAATTGAAATACAATTTTCTTGTTATAGCTCAGCAATCAAATTATATCATTTGAAAAAGCCAAATTGACAAATAATGAAGTTGACAAAACTGGACATGTAAGTTATTTTTATTGATTTGAAAAGAATTACTTCAAATTAATAAATATATTTTAGCATACATACATTTATTATCCTAATAAAATGAATAATTTTTAGCTCATTTTAAATTCAATGCATAAATATCAACCACGTATACATATCGTAAGACGATCACGTGAAAGACCAATCGAACAGGTAATTTGCTTTTTTTTTTTTTTTTGTTTCTTATCATTTTTTTTTAAAGTGAAATTTAACTAATTATCATTTTCAAAAAAAATTTCTAAATCATTTTCCACCAATTAGATGGGATAAGAATTAACAATTCATTGGTGAAAATTTCTATTCGAATCATTCTTGGAAATGTTTATTTTGGAAAAAAAAAATTTTTTTTCAAAAAATTTATAATTTTACAGTAAGAAAAAAGTTCAGCAATTTTAAAAAAAAAAAAGGAAAAAGAAATGGAATTATCAATGAAATGTCTATTTACTAATAGAAATTTATTAAAATTAAAAAGTTTTTTTTGTTTTATTTTTTTTTTAAATTTTTTTTTTTCAATTTTTTATACAAATTCATTTTTTTTTTTTTTAGGCATTAACAATCGATTTGCACAATGAACATTACAAAACATTCCAATTTAAAGAAACACAATTTATGGCTGTTACAGCATATCAAAATCAATTAATTACAAAATTAAAAATTGAAAAGAATCCATTTGCAAAAGGTTTTCGTGATCCAAATGGACGATC